CGAGTTCGACCAATCGCAGGCTAGCACATCCCATCCATGTGTCAGCCTAGCGTAAAACGGCATAGTGAATGACCAACAGCAAGGATAGACAGGCAATAGGGCAACCAGAGCAGTCAAAAAGCTTGGGCAGCTGGCCAGAGTACAGCAATTTAACCACTCCTTCAGGTCCACCCAGGAACTCCTAGGAGAGCTACAGCTTCTGTTACCTTCGGCAAAAGATTGATATTGCCAAACCAACCAATTCATACGCTGAGGACTCGTGAGTGCGCATCTTCGGCTGTCGGATTTCTTATGGGCTTAGATTCTTGGTGGCTCAGGGACTAGGGCTGCTGGGGGTTATGAGCTCAGACTCAAATGCCGGATCTATAGCCACGTTGATCGGACGTAAAAGAGCCTGGATGGCTTGCAGTGAAGCAGACCGAGGACAAGCGAAATATTTGCGACCCTGTGAGAAGGACGTGGTTTATCATGTCCAGGAGGACAAGGGACTTCACCTCCTGCAAGACTCCATGAGCGGTTGTAGTACAATTGGAGGTGTTGGGAAGCGGGTGTCCAGCGAGCGTGAACGAACTCGTACTGCCAACGTGAACGATGCCTTCCTGCTGTTGCGCAGCCTCATTCCTACTGAGCCGGTCAATCGGAAGCTATCAAAGATTGAGACCCTCCGACTGGCCGCATCATACATCTCGCATCTGCATGCCATCCTGGTGACGGGAAGCTCAGGTCTTGAGCAGCCTTGTCTTCGACACACTATGTCACCATCATGTTCTACAGGTCAATGTTTACAGGCTCAGATGACGCTGGAAACGGTCCCTGCAACGGCAGTTTCGGCAGGCCTTGGGGGTCGACAGACAGTGGCTACTCATCGGCCGGTGTGCACATTCTGTATGACTGAGGTGAAGCAACATCAGAGGGCTCTGAATGACCAGACTGTGGAGATCAAGTGATTTTGCCAACTCGAGAACAAGAAGTGTCCGAGACAAAGGCAGAATGGCCGGTTGGTTGGCTATTTAGTTGACAGCCGTGTGTACAGAGGCTTAGTGATTGTGCTAGCTACTTTTCATTCTACTTACTAAGAAACTTCTCATTTCTACTTTACCCTCAGTCATGTACAGTTATTTACCAGCAAAATGGGATCTTCTATTAAATAGTTCACCATCAGTCTCTTTATGGACCTCTTCATACTCAGGATAAAGATTTTTTGCCTAGTAGAATAATAGATGATTATCCTGTTTCACTTTATCTAATAAATATATGGGTAACGCGTGGATAAGTCTCAGGTAGAGGTAGATTAATCAGCCAACGATGTTGGAGACGTGAGCTGAAATAAGGATAAGGACCGACTCAGCCATTGAGTTCGTCTTTCTGTTCCAAAAGCGCAGAAACTGACCCAAACTCTTCAGCTCAGTCTAGGCGAACTCTGAAACATTAACCGATCGGTAATTTATATTCATATTCTGTTGTTGATGTACGTAGGTTAAAACGGCGTTATTGGAATAATGGCAATTCTTACCAGAATTTACTTAAGAGAAGGCTTTAATTTGGTCTTTAATATAATCAAACCATGATTGTGTAAAGGTCTTGATATTGCCTTATTTAATGCGTAATTCAGATATGCTTATGTCTTGAGAATTTATGCCTGCCTCTGAGGTTGCACATCGATGGTTCGAATCCCATTGGAAGTGCCGATGAGGCGATGAAGTGAAGTAGAAACTGTAGTCTATATTGAATGAGGAGGGCCTGAATAGGGGTGAAGTTTTATGAAATAATTGCTTTGAAATTTAGAAAACCCTATTTGTTGTGATTATGATAAGAGTGTATGAATAGACTTTGAAGAAAAAAATGCTATCCTAGATTGCTTAAGGT